TGTTCATTAGAGAATCACCACGTTTGCATGCAATCAACTTCTATCTTAGACACTTCAAGCTGCTAAATTAAAGAACACAAGTACAAGGGGCTTAAGCAACAAGTGTTTCTATTACTGGGCATTTTGCCATGATGTACATGGGTATTCTGTGTAATTCTCAGTCCATGATCCATATGGTAGTTGTCTCCGTGGATGGTGCGGATCTCATTTCTAAGATATGGTCCTCTTGCATGTTCACCCAGCAGATAGGAAAGGGGAAGTCTGTATGGCTATCAGTGGGGCCAATCACCCCAAGCATAAAGACTTTTACCTCCAGACCCAAACACTTCCTGAAGCCCACTTCTCAACATCAGCAGCTTTGGCTTTGGAATTTCAGCGTGAGTCTTGGAAAGATGCATTCAATCCTTAGTAAATACTTTCCTTCTTAATGTCAGTGTGATTGGGGATCAAATGATATACCAAGAAGCATATGTGTTTTATGAAAAACAAGGAAAATAATTACTGAAAACAGTATATATCAGGGCAAATACAGGTAAGTTTCCTCATGTGAGTTAGCTGTTTACTCTGTATGACAGCAGTTAACCTTTAGGTGATTACATATACATACATATATACATACATACATATATACATAGATACGTACATACATACATACATACACATTACCAGTGTACTTCATGAGACTCTCACAAGATTGGCACAAAGAATTTTTTCTTAAATACACATATGATGTTGGAAACACCAAGTAGATAGGTTGGTATTTTTAATGGTTTTAATGAACTTGAGAATCTATTGAAGAAAGTTTAAAGGTCATAAGAAACACAGTGAAAAAGGTAAATTAGCCCTGATTAAAATTCTCTACAGTTCAGCAAATGAGCTTTTACTTGAATCGTGGAACATGACATGAAGACAACACACTGCATTGTTTAATATTCTGCAGACTGTCTTCAGAAGACTGATAAAAGCATGAGGAAACAAGAACATATTTATACAATTGATTACTAAAAACAACACCTACAGGATATTATATTATAGAAAGACAACATTTCCGATCTAAGGAATTAGTTATAGTTACCACCTTGGGGTAAGTTACAAAGAAAGAGAAATCTTAAGAGAATATTTAGAGAAATATTGTTGCTCCAAAAGGATTTCTATTCTATTTTTTTAAATTGTGTTGTTTCATGACATAGTATCTGACAAGTGCTAATTTTTATGGAATAAAGAATCCCTATTCTTACTTCTAATGAGTAACACCTAACTCATTAAAGCTCATGACACCAATTGGTGTAATTGATCCTAACTCACTCTGATGAGTTGTCAACAACAACAAAAAATACCTGAGCTCCTTTTCAGCAACCAGAAACCTGTCTTAGTTCTGTGCCCTTGGAATAACTAACAACCTGGAATAAAGTCAGTTGAGGAAATATGAGGGATGAGTCATCTTTGGTGAGAGAACCAAAATTGAGTTCAAAAGTGAATTCTCACTTAAGAATGAGGAGTAATGATATGTTGGAAAAGCAAAATTACAAATGCAAAATAATTTGATGTTGAAGTTTGCTCTGTTTTCCTGTTTGCTGTTTTCCTGTGCTTGCTTGTTTTTTCATAGGATAGTTGTAGAAGGTGTTATATAGGGCAGGATTACCACACATTTTGTATCTAGGAATTTTTGTTGTTGTTTGGTTGGTTTTGGTGGAATTCATATTGAAATTCAGGGTCTTTTATTTGCAATTTGCTAAGAAGGAGCTCTTCTACTTGACATAATCCTCTTGAACATTTTACTTTATATTTTTTTCAAGTAAGATTTTTAGTTTTTGACATAGGGTTGGCTTTAGACTGCTATCTTCTTGAATATATCTTCTACATAACCAGGAACGTAAGTCCACATATCTAGCTCATTACTTGTGATAGGGTTTTGCTAATATTTTAGCTAGGCCATTCTCAAATTGTATTCCACCAGATCTCTGTCTCCAGAATACATGAGATTTACAGGCATACCTCAATGCCTGGTGTCACTGAAGATAATATTGCTAGTTTTTATCGTAATTTTCCTACCATCATTCAGCACAAGGATGAACCAGAAAACAATGCCAATATCATGAAGTAAACCAACTTTGAAGCTCGTTTAGTATAATGATTAGTAAAAAATAACATGTCAGGCTCTTCCTTTCACCACTGGTATGAACTGAATTTTAGTTTTTTCCTTGTCATTTGATTATGTGGGATGGAGTTAATAATGAACATCATAGCAGAAAACAAAGAACAGAACTATTCACCTCATGGCTTTAAGGAAAGCATCAGGAAGGAACCAAAAGAAGACCCATTCCAGTGATTGGCTTCTTTCAAGAAGGTCTAAAATCTTTATGGTCAGATGTTTTTCAATGGACGAATCCATGAATAAAGTTAGGAGCCTTATGTTCTCCTAGTTACTTCTTGAAAGCTACTAGTGCTATCAAGTCTTTGATACATAAAACCATATACATTTTTAGATTCAAATCATAACACTTCATGACTTTTTGACTAATGTACATGCACAGACACATACACACACACTTGCCCTATTTGACATTGTCACAGCTCTACTGCAGTATAAATATGTATATATGTATATATACATATATCCAAACACACACACTCTATCTCTCGCTGTCTCTTTTGTCTCTCTATCTCTGTCTCTGTCTCTGTCTCTGTCTCTGACTCTCTCTCTCTCTCTCTCTCTCTCTCACACACACACACACACACACAAGCTTTAATTTGTCTGGGGTAGGCCTCAGGGCATTTTCTGTACAACCTTGAACCACAGTTATTCCAGTCTCAGTATTCTAAGTGGCTGTTATTATTGTGAGTTGCCACACCAGGCTCAGAAACTTTTATTTGGATTGTTTTATTAAATATAACTATAGATAACTATTGACTTTGATGAGATCCCAAACTAATGCTGTTAAAACATATATTAAATTTTAATTTATTTCAAACTCTGCAGAAAACAAATTACGAAATTATACAAAAATGTTAAGTAGATATCAGGAATATTTTGAAGAGATTGGATAATATGAGATGGAAAATGAGGTGATAGGAACTTTATTGAAATATTACAGAGAACCTCAAGTTGCAAAGCATTCACTAAGAATGGGAACTTAGGGACCCCAAGAGGAATGGGATGTGTGACTTTCTCTAAGAGATTCTGCCCTGTTTGACTTTCTCACAGCTATTCTATATTTAGATTTTAGGGCCCTCTACAGAATTGCTCTTCTCAATTTTTGCTTGAAGTCTTCTTAAAAGTTCATGGTATTAAGCTTCCATTTATTCCATTTATAGAAGTTAAGATCGGGTGAATTTGTACATAAAAAATTAGGGAAAGGAAAAGAGGAGAGAATGTTAGGAAAACAGATTGTCTAGAATATATTTCACTAAGCTTCAAGTGGTTAAGGAAGGTAGAGCAAATTTATTTGAAAGCTAATGTACATAAGCTTTTTCAACCACTCTAGAAAGTAGTATGGAAATTCCTCAAAAAAGCAAACATAGCACTACCCTATGAGCCAGCAATGCTCCTCCTGGACATATACCCAATAAATCAAAAGCACGGTTACAGTAAGGCCACTAGAACAACCATGTTCATTGCAGCACTGTTTACTATAGCAAAGATATGGAATCATCTCACACGCCCCTCAATGGATGGATAGATCAAAGCAAGGTGCTATATACACAATAGGATTTTACTCATCTGTTAGAAACAATGTACCATTTGTGAGGAAGTGAAAATACTTGAATTACATTAAGTGGAAACAACTATATTAAGTAAGTAAGCCAGACCCAGAAAAACAAACATTGAATGATTATTTTCATTTGTGGTAGATAGAATATACCTATAGATCTATAAGTAAACATATTGGGAGGTATGCAAGTGGTTACAAATGAAATAATTGAAGTATAATAGACTCTATGGAGAGCTTAAATAGAATGCTCTCTTGAAAAGATTGGGTCAATGTTCAACAAGAGTTACACCAGGAAATCAGTACATCTAAAAAATGGAGACAAGGGGAGAGGGGTAGATGAATGAAGAGGGCTGGAGAGGGAGAATCTAGTCAGGTACTCACTGAATATGCCACAGAATTATGAAAAGTAAGGGAAGGAGTAGGTTGAAAGGGAGTGAGAACATTGAATGGTGGTAGCGCTGATCAAGATATACTATACTCATTAAGTACTTTGTTATATGGCACCTCCTTTGTACAAGTAACTACTTAAGGATTATAAAAATGAAAAGTAAAAAGCAAAGATAATGCAAACCTGCAAGCATTATAATTTTAAAATATGTAGATCATATTTCTTCTTTAGAAATATATTTTAAAGTTTGGTAAGAGAATCAAAAGTTCAAGGAGAGACCAGACAAGGTCAAATGCAAACAAAAGTATTAAAACAAAGAAACTCAGAAAATGATGTTGATTGTCCTCAATAAGTCACATTTGATGCACTCAATATGTTGTTATATATATGTATATATAGTATATATGTATATATTTATATTATGAATGTATATATACATACATATATACACTATATGGACAAGAATCAGGATTGGAACATCTATGCATTGAATTTGATGCATCGTTTGAATAGTACTTTCCTTTTCTTGGTACTAATGTTGAACTTCTCATTCCTCAGCCAGGTATTGAGATCTAAGTGTGTGTGTGTGTGTGTGTGTGTGTGTGTGTGTGTGTGTGTGTGTGTATGTGTCTGTAATTTCTTCTCTAATTTGGCATATAGTTATTTGAACAGAAGTGCTAAGGAAAGGAATATTAGAAAAACTGCTCTCTTTGTCAGAAGAACATTCAAGGGAGAATTAAAGTCATAGTGTTCTGCTCCCTCGCTTTTAAGTTTACTTCATTTATATTTTTGAGAGAATTCCTATGAGGCAAGCTATTACATTCAAATCACAAGACCGACCCGTACTCTCCCATCTCTCATCAAAAAGCTGAGGTATCAAAAACTTAACAGCATGGTATATACTGTTCCAATAATACTCAGCAACTTTTCATTGAGAAATGAGGTAGTAGCAACTATTGACAAGTGTAGGTGATAAATCTCATTTGTAAAAGAAAGCTAGCTTTGATTTCTCTTTGCAGTAACATGCAAAGCATTACAGTTTCAAACAACTAACTTGGCAAAATTAAATTTTGTTATTTTCAAAGACAAATACCTTAGCTATCTTTTCAGAATGAACAAAGGAATTCACTCCTATCATTTTTCTTTGGCCTAGAAGTTTCAAACAGAAGTCTGCAGTGTCATCTGCTTTCAGCCACTATACTGAATGACCTCTCCTTGGTTCACAGATCATAATAATATTGCTGATGAATGTAGGAACATCTTTCCTTGTGATTAATAGATATTTTCCGATACACTGTTATACTTAAAATTGTTAAGAATATATGATAATGACTGTATGGTAATTATTATTGACTTGTTCCAAATACCAGCATAAATATAATGCTATGTGAATGTAGCCTTTTTTCATATTTTCATTCTTTAAGTTTCTTCTATGTAACATGTGGAGATTAATTGAGTTCATAAGAATCTTTAGGAATTAATAAGGTAATGTGCAGAGTAATCATAAAGAATATCTAGCATATGGTAAAGTTTAAAAACAATAATTATGATTAGAAAGCAAATCTACTGGCTCATCTGTCTTACATTAAAAAAGAAGGAAACAGGTGTAATTTCCATTTAATTCTTCTTTTCCTTGGATTATCTAGTCCCATAACTTTATATAAACCAACATTCTTTATAACAAATATCAGATAGTTAAAACAGAAGACATCATTATCTAAGAACACTGCTTTTTTAGTAAGTTGTGCTGATAGATTTTGTAATACATTAATAAGCAACAGTAAACCCTTCATGTGTATTTGAACAAAGACAAGTTTTGTCAAATCACTACATCTTGAACTAGCTGTTCCTTTTCTTTTCATTTGTGTGTGTGTGTGTGTGTGTGTGTGTGTGTGTGTGTGTGTGTGTGTTTCCTATCCACAGAATACCAAGATGCTGGTCTAGGGTTTTTATAGCTCTTTGCAGGTGTCACCATTACCCTTAACCCTTCCCACATCCACTGTTACAGAATTTTTATGGCTCAGAAAAGTTTTAATATTCAGCAGGTTAAGGAAACCTATGGTCAGCTTTAGAATTGTGATCTCTGCTGAGCTTTCAAGGTGTCAAGACCCTAAAATAATATGAACAGCAGGAGCACTAAATCTTTCATTATTTCCAGTTTCCCCTTGAGCATACTGACTTTGCAATAAAGAAGCTGTCATTTACACTCTTCTTTATTGCAAAGTGGGTAATAGCTACAGGAAGAAAAAAAAAATTAAGGAACTGTGTCAAGTTAGCCCAACTGCCATTATGATTAATGTGTAATCATTACACATTTGCATCTGCTCTTTTCGCATGCAGGTACTTCATAGATTGGAAGACGGATGGGGACAGCTACTTTGCAGTAGATGGGACTGAAGGAACCATTGCCACTAATGAATTACTGGACAGAGAAAGCACCGCACAGTATAATTTCTCCGTAATTGCAAGTAAAGTTAGTAAGTATGGCATGCACAGAATCAATGTGATACTGCCATTCTTTGGATTTAACACTCTTAAACGAGTCCCTGCTGAGGCATTTTTCACTTTTGGTTTGACAGCTGAGTGCTCTCCTGGGGAAACTATGAAACCTGCTTCTTTTCCTCACAGCGTAAGTCCAGAGAAATTGTGACAACTGCCAGTGAGCCCTGTTTGCAAGTTTTCATGAATACCTAGAAGGGCCAGTCAGTCTGTGACCTCACCACTTTCTACTTCTTACATTCAAAAACTCACAGGAGAGCTAAGTTTTCTTCCACAAAGTGTCCTTGAGTCTCTATCATTGCATGTTTGGTTATGGAAAGAAAAAAGATCATTCTAGAATGTTTTCTGAAAATGAAGACAACATTTTAAATGTCACCCTTCTTCCTCCTCTTCCCTTCCATTACAGTACATTTTAATAAATATACCTGGAAAAATATAGTTTTAAGTGTAATACTTTAGATTTTTTTCACAATCAATATGATTGCTAGAAATTAGTCTTTGTATAAACTACTTTTTAGACTCTGTTAATATGAGAAAGATGACAGGTCTTATTTGCTGCATAGAACAATAAAGAAATGATTACAATATCATTCTCAAGTTGTATATTATAGTAAAAGTAATAATGTTTGGCCCTTGACACAGTCATTTTTAAAGAACTGGATCTTGCCAGTCCTTCCGCTGATGTTGCTTTTTAAGTTTTAGGAAATTCCAGTGGAGTATCTTATTTTGCCTTCTTATTTTATTCCTGTTGCAAATTTATAATACTTTGGCAGCTAATTTTATCTTTCAAGGCAAGAAAGCTATGAAAAATCTGATGAATGGATTTTCTCAATTTCAGTTCCTCAGTGGAGTAAATATAAACAGCTTTATCTTTGAATACCTGTGTCTAAAATAGTCAGACCTCAATGAGGTTCTTAGTCAACTTCATTATCACTGTTCTAGTAAATTAGTATTTACTAATTGAACAATGGGGTTTGTTTCATTTCAATACATTCCGAAAATATACTTTGACTAAAACCTCTTCTATTATTCCTTTTAATCTGCTTTAAACCCCTTTTGATATAATTTTGAGCAATTTCATCATTCTAATTCCATATATGCTTATGATGAACTTTAATCACATTTAATTTCCAACTTCTTGTTTCCCTTTGCCCTCCCAATCAGTCTCCTGCCACATCTTTTACATTAGTGTATGTTCCTCTGAGTCTCAAAAGCAAATCTTATATGCAGTTTCTTTCCTATTCATTCAATATTTACTATTAAAATTCTGTCCTGGAATGTAAGACAGCTACCTCAGGCTGCCATATGAGAGGTTATATATGGTTGATGATCAATTGATCATTTTAGTTCAACTCATCCTTCCAAGTATACCAGCAGTCTTTCCATGACAGTGGAATGTCTAGTGGAGTTCATTTGCAACCTGAATATCATACTGTAGCTGGCTTATCACCCTGTGAAATGAATATTAAATCAGGCACACAATGGATATTTCTATCCCCAAACCATGAGAAGTAGGGAAATGCTATTATTTTAAGCACTTCCATGTCAGGGTAGTTGTTTAACTTAATGCCAGAACTAGCTTACAGTCAGCATATATTCCTTTGGAGTAGGAATATCAATTCTCCTTTCTGTCCGAAGGGAAGATGGGACTAAATCACTCTTCTGTCATATAATGTTGTGTTGGTGTCACTGCTGTTAAAGCTAAAATGGATTGGTGCCAAAAGCACTTGTCCTACAACAAACTCTTCTCTTGTCCCTGGACTACTGCCTACAGGAGCATCTGAGAAGGCCATACAATTATAAAGATCCTATGGCTTTTTACCCCAATATTCCATGTGTAGCAAACATCTGAGCAAGTGAATAGTATTATTTCTCAAGTTCATATCTTTTGCCCAGTGCCCAGCTGACCTTGAAGACCTTCCCAGGTCTTGCAAAGATAAACAGAAGTATTACTTAGGTTTTTCTCTACCAGATATTTTCTCTCCCTTGCCATTTCATTTCAAATGACTGCTTCTTGCTCTTATAGGCTCATAGAAAAGATTACACAGTTAACTTCCTGAACAGAGGGATGAGAGGGAAAATGAAATGTTTGCTGTACTCTCTACGGCATTCTCTTCAGGATGTATTCCCCGTGTCACTTCACGGATGGCATCTTCCTTCCTAATAACGCTGCATTCTTTTACAATTAAAATGGTTAATCTTCATTAATTTTATGCTAACTTTCAATGAGCTGATTCACAGAGGATTTGCAAGAGAGTTTAACTATCCAGAAAAAACTTTATTTTCCTGAAATGTTTGGTAAATACACTGTAAATTATTTGTCTTATGTTATGTAAGTCTTATATGAATCACATTATTTTTCCTCTAGTAGATTGGACATAATAAATAACAACCAGAAGCAGTCTCCTCAGCTTCCAATTATAATAGACCAATTATCTAGTGTAAAAGATTAATATATGGGGGCTGGGAAGGTGGCTCAATGGTAGAGTGCTTGCCTTGCATGCATGAGGCTCTGGATTCGATTCCTCAACACCACATAAACAAAAAGAAAAAAGCCAGAAGTGGCACTGTGGCTCAAGTGGTAGAGCACTCTCATGGAGCTGAAGAGCTGAGGGATAGAGTCCAGGCCCAGAGTTCAAGCCCGACGATTGACAAAAAACAACAACAACATAAAATATCATCATGATACAAAAAGAATTGTAAAAATAAAATCTAGTCTTTCTTTGAGGGACATGGGGCTTTAAGCTATTAAAAAATAGAATAAGGGGGTAATATTTTACAGTGGAATAAATGTCCTTTACACTTGAAAGATTTATTTATTTTTAATGAATCACTGTTTTAATTGGTTATCTATCATTATGGTAGTATACATATTGCTCCAACTTCTGATCTTACTTTTTTTAAGCATAATAAAAGACTTATCTAGGAAGATCAAGTTTGAGTATTAGGAATGTTGGCAATCATGTTCGGAATTGAGACTTAGAACTATGATTCTTATATAAGCACAGTTTAGTACTCATTACCTTACTTATGTAACTGTAACTCCTCTTTACATAACCTTCACAACAAAATGAAATTAAATTAAAAAAAGAAAATGAAAAAAACAAAACTTATGTCAATCTGATATTCTTAAAATTGATATCTAATTGATTTCCTGACTATTTAGGTTCCGTTCACCAGATTTCAAAGCTTTTAAGGAAGCCCGATATGTGAAAGACACTATATCTGCTTTTAAAATAAAGATCCTAAATATATATTATGTTATTTGATGTTTAAAATTTCTATAACAATATCTAATAGTGGACACTTATTTAGTTTGAATGCAGTTTACATAAAAACATTATTCATATTCTGATGCATCTAACTGCTGTCATTGATCAAACTAGACAGCAGAACAGAAATATCATCTCGGTGAACGAGTAAGAAATTAATGGCTCACAGTTGCTCTAACAGGAACAAAATCATATAAGTACACCATATTGCAGATTGTGCTGGCATATGATTTGGTCCTGACCCGTCTATAAAATCTGCGGGTGAAATGGAATGTTACAATGATTGAACACATTTCAATTAATTAAAAAGCATTCATTAATAGTGTTTCTGTAGTTGGATGTCCAAATAATCTTATTACAATTCTAATCATTCTTTTATGCCTTACTACTTCACAGTTTTTATGATATTAACCTTGAGAGTTTTAGAAGAGAGCAAAACTTCAAATTTTAACTCATTTAAATTGTCAGAAAGTTTTTACACACCACTGTTTCTAATATATTTTACTGTTTACATAACAAATGTAATTAGAGAAACATATTTGGTAATGATAGCATTAAGCTTATATTTTGTCCTTATAGAATAAACACATCACACCCAAATATTATTAGTTCGCTCATATTAATTATCCCATGAAATGGGCTTTGTTTGTTCTTAAATAGGTGTGCTTTCTTTGAAATTCTTTATTAAATGCCATATTTGATGTTTTACATGAAATATGAGATTGAGTTTGGATTTCATTTTATAAATGTTTTTGTACATTTCAGTGTGTTTCTTCAAGACATTGTCATAGAAGATATACATTGAACATGCTTATTTTTATTACTTTCTTTTTTAATTTTTATTTTATTATAAAACTGTTGTACTGAAGGGTTACACTTACATAAGGCAGGTAATGAGTACATTTCTTTTTGAACAATGTTACTCCCTTTCTCATTTTCTCGCCCTTTTTCCTGTTATGATGCCCACCTCCAAAGTTGTAGAAGTGATTTCCAGTGTAGTGTCTAATGAGTATCACTGTTTCATTCGTTCACCATTTTTTCCCATTGTTTTACTTTCTTTTTATCATTTATCTTTTATCCTTTATCATTTCTCTCACTTCTGGTTCTCTTTCTCTTCTAAAGTATTCCTTCTTCTAATTCTATGTTCCTTAAAAATAAAACCTATGGCCACATAAAATCTCATGATATTTGTTTTTCTCAGTCTTGTTTTTCCTGGTTAACAAGATGATTTCAGCTCTATTTTCTTGCAAATGGTATTTTTTTTGTACTTTTTAAAGGATGTTGATGTTGTTTTCTATATAAACATATTATCAGTTGTAAGTTTTTTACTTGATATCCAACAAATGATATTAGCTTTATAGATACAGAAACATCAACTTGTAAGAATGATGTCTGTAATTCAGATCCTATATCCATTACACATTCATTTTATTTAGTGCACAGAGACCCATATTCATGAAAAACATTACTTACTGTGGATTGTGACAAAACTAACAGTGGTAACTGTCAAGGCCAATAAACAAAATGATACTAACTAAAAGTAATAAATTTATTGAGTTATACAGAGAAAATTATGTTGAATTACGAGAAGATTACTTCTCAGGAACTTCAAGTGAGTTGCAGCAGTTTATTACTCGCAGTATGGTCTTTAAACAATTAAGTATTTAATCATAATGAAATATTTTTTGGCAGAATATTCTGGGGTG